AGAAAAGGGAAAAAACCACATTCCTCCACACTATCGAATGCCCTCTACAACGTGGTCCTAATGTCTGCCTTGGGCTGAACAAAAAATACTTGATCAGCGAAGTGTCGCGTTACGTGGACAAGCTGTAAAGCCACAAAAGCGGATCGAGGATCCATATACATGTGGTCACCGTAAAAAAAAAGAAACAAACTCTTAACTGTTATAGATTCGCTAACCCATACTAAATAGTACAAGAGGAAAAAAAATGAGAGAAGAAGCGAGAAAAAGAAAAGAAATATTATAAATAAATAAGTATACAAGTAAGTATGAAATGTGAGTTGTGTTGTGTGTTGGTACTGCAGATGTGTAGGTCTAGTGAATCAGACAGAAGTAGAGAATCTTCCTGTATCAGCAATATAGTTTACGACTAACTCGACAATAACTCCAACTGTTACTTTGTCAAACAGTACTTGTAATAGAAGTGATTCAAGATCCGGTTTAACATCTGGAATCCTGTTAGAAAACTGTGTCATTAGGTTTTCTCTCTCCTTGTTGTAATTCGGACACTCAAAAAAGAAATGGTAAACAGTCTCTTTTATTAGACTATTACATTCGCAAGATGGATCATGCACGAGACCTTTATTGAATAAGCCACTATTCAGTTGAGAAAATCCGACTCTAAGGCGACAGTAGTGAATATTAATATCTCTTCGACTGATTAAAGGTAATTTTAAATGTATTTTTATATTTCTAATTTTATATTTCTTAAATGTTTTCTCAGTCGAAATCGATATAAACTAAGTCAGAGTATGAAGATGTACTCTGTTTTATCCGTGCGATGTCATCGATTTCAACAGGGCTTCTAAAAACCAATCCAGAATACTATGGTTATCGAAAAAGATTTTCTAGAAATCTTCAGAATTAAGAGAAAATTTTTTAGTCATCTAAAGCACAGAATCCAATTGAACAGATAAAGCAGAGCACCAGTTAAAAACTGGTGTTAGGGCTTCCGCCGAAATTCTTATAAGCGGCCTATAAAGAATTACTCGGAGTTGCACAACCTCTCATTTTGTAGAGAAATATTTGCTCTTGCGTGCTCGACTGTAAAAGAAGATTTACAGAACAGTAAATTTAGTTTTGTAGTAGTTTACTACAAAACTAAGTTCACATGTTCGAATCTCTATTCGTACAAAATTGATTTTGTGTTTTTCGATAGTTCAGTTTTAGTTTAGAATACTATAATGGAATATTTTCCGCTTGTATTCTGACAGAATAAAGCTTATATCAAAAGAAGATTTGAAGTAAATTCTAGCAAAATTGTGAGCATGGTAAAATGCACTAAAATTAGGAAAAGAAACTGTTCGAACAGTTTTTTTCTGACTTTAGTGCTTTTATAGGATTGTAGTCCAAACATTTGTCTATTCTACTTTCAGGCTACTTGTTACGCTTTGAAACCTGATGGGGTCGGGGTGCCGAGTACAAGTAATGAAGCTAGCAAAGTGAGTCCTTGAAATACAGTCGCGAGCCCGAGTAGTGAGTCCTTTTCGAGTCCGACAATTTGTTCAAACCTTTTTGGTTGTCGTTATTTATATTTCTGTATACTCCAATTCGGACTGTTATTATGCCTTTCAATGAAATGTTGTAGTAATCACAATTGTTAAAGAGTGTAACACATGTACGTCTATATATCTCATACTGATATTGGAAAAATAAAAATTTTCCTGTTGATTTATGTAAAAACATGAATCAATAGAACTCGAAACACAAAAACGCAAGTTTGAGTCCGAGTCATTCGATCAATTTTTAAGTTCAGACTCGCCCAGGCCTGCTTGATGTGGTATATGCACAATTGTGTTTGCTTATTTAATTATTGGTTTAATGTAATCCTCTTTTTCACAATATCAGTAAATGTGTTAATAACATCACACAAATTATACAGCAATTAGAGGACATGATATCTTACGAAAGATTCTATTTGTATTCCTATACTCATGTTTATTAAAACCTTTTGCTTTTTGAAAAAGAATTTTGTTAGATAACTGACATGAATACAGGCTAAATCATTATAGAATTAACTGGACTAGGTGTGTCAAGTAAAGTACGGGATGGAATGGTGACAGACACACAAAAAACTATACCGTATAACGCTGTATGATTATTTATTTAAACAGATGTTTTTTTTATTTCCTATTAAAAGAAAATGTCAGATAGTAAGTTTTACATATATTGAAAGTGTATTCTAACTTAGCCCTTTGCATAGTTCAGTTGCTTCGTTATAATAAAGATTTGCCAAACTGTTATCGTTTGATTGTTTGTATGCATCACCTTGATTTGTTAAATTTTTGATTTGAACAAGTATCAACTGAGATCCTAAGACGTTCTTGTTAAATAATCGAACTTTTGTGTATTTTTTAGCTAAATCTTTAATATTATCGTTATTATCGATGTAGATAGAATCGATTTGGACTAATTCATTCAATTTAGGTACTAATTGTGTAGCACATTCAGATGGTATAAAAGCTGTTAATTGTTTATTTTTATTCATGTTTATAGATTGAATAAATTCCGTAGGGTCATTATAGTAATACAAAATGCCAGAGTTAAATTGTTTTATAATATTTTCATATGAACGAGATGGATCGTATAAAGCCGTTAAATAATCAATATCAGTAGTGCGGACTGATGACATGCTTTACCGAAAAATAAATTTATTCTGTTTAAAACTTAAAATTGACAGACCAGAAATGAAAATCTTTCGAAACTTCGTTAGTCTAGTCGTTGTTTTTATTTTTGATACTACAATCTGTAACAAGAAACATGAAAAACATTAAAAGGTGATGAATTTTTAACTAAATATTTAAGAGCGACTATTTGAGATGGATAAAGAATTCGGACATGCGACTATTATTCAGTTGGCATATACGTCAAACAAAAGTAGACATGTGAAAAAATGTACAAAAAGTGTACTTTCATAGGATAACTTACAGAAGTACAATGTATGTAAGAAGTATTCGGACACTGTAAAAAGCTCCTTTTGCGAGCTTATTATCTCTTAAAACAGAAGAGATAAGGAAATTATTTTTCTACCGTTAGATAGAGTGAAGTGTACTCTGCTTATCTGTCCACTTGAAAAAATTTTAACGATCGTAGATAAGTCTATAATGAGTCTTCTTTTACACTCAGTGGACTTTTGGAACGGAAAAAGTATTCGGACACTTTGTTTTCTCTATGGTCTTTGACATTTCCCAAGCGCCGATGGACCTTTCAAATATACCTACCACTCGAAAGAAGAAAGTATTAGCTTTCTGATGAGAAAATAATAATTAAAAGAAGTGCTCTCTAAAGGACACAAAATTGAAAATTACGGATACTATCCTGAAATTCATTTAAAACGGAAGAAGACAAAAGTTTGCACGAAATGGGCTATTTTTCGAGTTGAATACCTAAAGAACAGCTGAGCTACACATACTATCTTTATGTCGTTTCAAAGAATTTCGTTTATTCCGTGGATAATAGAAGACAAAGCCTGTGCATTTTTTTGGGAGAACTGATAAGATAAAGATAGTATGTGTAACTCACAGGGCCGCAAATAGTAGCAGAACATTAGGGGACTGTAAAATAAAATTTCTCTTTGAGGTAGTGTGAAAATTGATTGATAAAAAAAATTTTCTGCGAGGAATAATGGATAAAATAACAATAGCCTTTTTCAGTTATTCGGGGGCTGCGCGTTTTTTTTGTTTTTTTTTGTGCAGACTTTTGTCTTCTTTAAGCCTGTTATGTCAAAAAACTTTTATAGACTTATCTACGATCGTTAAAATTTTTCAAGTGGACAGATAGTAGACTGGAAAAAAGCATTATGGTAAGTGTTGGAAATCGAGAGAACAGTTTCTTTTATCTATGACATTTTGAGAGTTTATGGGCAACGTTAAGAATAAGAATTTAAGAATAATTGCGCCTATCATGTTAAGAGTTTTAATAAAAAATTTTAATGAAAAAAATAAGAATTTTAAAACTAAAACCAACGATTAAAATGACAATTCGATATTCCGACCTATTGATACGGTCATTTTCAAATTGCTCTTCGTACAGAATCTATATATATAAAGAAGAAAGTTTGTTTGTATGTTTGTATGTTTGTATGTTTGTTCTCTATGCATTCAGTCCCTGTAAGAGCTAAAGCAGCCAAAATTTGCATGGCACACCCTTGGGTCCAGGGGAAGGTCAAGAGGGGGTCGGCGAGACCGAAGGAG